TATATATATATATATATTATGATGAATATTATCCAAATGTTACTGAGCGGGGGCAGTATCCAAGGGATACAGTGGACACCGCGTCACTGACACAACGGCAGCGGCGGTGGTGTGCCCAACTGTACGTGCATCATGACCCATGGGGGGCGGCACGTTAAGCGACTTCCGCGCACCGTCGAGCTCTCGTGTCACCGAAACTTAAAACATAACACCCCGCCTCCCCGCTCCAGCTGTGAAGCAAATGCCCTGACTCGTTGAGGTCGACTACTTTGAGACGGTCCCAGCTCCGCTCTGTGAGAAAGGAATCAAAGGTCAGGTACTTCTTCTTCTTGAGAAGAACGCTGCAAGACGATCCTCGTTCATACTTCCCCGTTTGCAGATCCTGGACGGACTCTAAGCAGTCTGTCGTCTCCTCTCCCAGGGAATTCTTAACGGTGCAGCCAGCTCCTTGCATCGCGAATATCCAATCGTGATCCTCGACTTTCTTCCAACCTTCGGCACTTTCGCTGTTACAAACCGAGCAGCCGCTGCAGGCTTTGTCATGATCGTTCTCCCACCAAGCTTGCTGGCCCCTGTCGGGGAAGTAGCATTTGCCATCTTCTGTCCGTATGCAATAAGGACCTCTGCTACGATGCTCGCAACTCCGAGATTCACAGCTTCCCACAAAGTTTTAAAAGCTCTACTCACAAAAAGTACTCCATTTGGCTGAGGCGCATGCAGCCTCCTGGCCACTGCGCGATGGTGTAGTCGTCGACGCAGTTGCTGCTTCTGCTTCCGAGGTCGTTGCCTCTGAGGTCGTCGCGGCGATGATGACATACGCGCAGATTTGTCGGAAGCACAACATGGCGCAAGAGGCTGGCTTTGACAGGACAAACGGGTTTCTTGCACTGTAAAGCTAAGCAGTTTCCCATGTTCATGCTCCTTCTGCCCACAGATTTCGTCTACTTATTGGTCAGATTCCTATGGGCAGTCATGGTCTACAGCTCCATCGCGCCACAGCCATCCAATGTAGAAGCCTCAACAAGACCCCGAGCACCGTCATGATTCATGATCATGCACGAGAACCAAGAGAACTGAGCAAATCTGGCTCTCAGCATCCCGATGCATCTCGCCTCAATGCGCTCACTCAAGTACACGGAAGCAGCAACCTGCAAGAAGGTCTTCAAGTCTTCCAAATTTCGAAGGTACAGACTAAAATCAGTTCCTCGGTTGCTCTTTCGCATGAAAAACGCTGGAGCATGCAACAATCTAAGCACAGCCGATGTTACGTACATCCTGCGCCATATCAGCCAGTAGAACTCAAGTTAAACTCTCCTAGATTTCTGAATGATGCAAGAGGTTGCTATGAGTCCTCTGAGGAAGAACCGACATGTAGAGAGGTGATGCTTTACAAGGTCCGCCCTTGTTCGCAAGCTCGCACGTTCAAGCGATGCCTGCTGAACATACTCTTTGAGACGAACATCTTCTGCCTCCCCACCAGCCACTGCTCGCTCCAGCAGCTCAAGCACCTCCCGCTGCCCAAAAGTTCCACGCATCTGTAGCACGTGTTTGCAACCTTAAACCTTAAGCCATAAACCCTTTTAGGAAGCTCGCTTCATCATGCTCCCGAATCCATCGAAGCCGAGAGGTCCCCGAGAATCTTGCGGTTTCACGGTTCCTCTCATGTCACCGTCTCCCAATGTTCCTTTCGAGGGCCAGGCAGAAGGTGCGACGGGCGACGCCCGCTTTTTTTCTTTTCTGTGGAGGTTTGGAGCTAAGCAGCCCCTCACGGTTCCCCTGAGCTGCATCCTTGAGAAACCAATGCACATAGATTCCCTTTAGGACACGGCCCGGCAATCTGCAAGCCGGGAACTGCTCTCTGTTCTCATCTTCATATCCTCTCTGTTGCTGTCGAGCGCCACAGCGCTTGCTTTGCCTAAGGGGGTCCGCGAGTGTCTCACGCAAGAATCACGTGTCAACCCCGCACCCTTTTTTTCGAGAGTTGAAATACAAAGTGACGCACAAATCACGTGGCTGATAAACACCCGCCTACAATCGCCTTCAACGAAGCTGGCTCACACGACGAAAACAATAACGAAACTTGTTCATATTTTTGCTGTGCTTTGATCATGTTTGCCGACCTTATGTGCTATCGCATACGAGGTGCTGGAAAGGGGATAATTCTGCAGGTGCATTTGGAATGTCTGTGCTTGTCAAGACCTGTGCTCTTGCACCTCTTGGTGCATACACTTGCAATGGGTTCTTTCAGTTGCCTAAAGCACTTGATCCTAGGAAACTGGGACCATGAAGATCGACACACGGCAGGCCTTGCCTTCGAATTAGATGGACGGTGAGGGGTTCGGGGGAGGGGAGGATCGATGGGTCGTTGTTGGGTGCAGCCAGTCAACAGAAAGAGAGAGAGAGAGAGAGAGAGAGAGAGAGAGAGATCGATCGGAGACGGCTGTGTAGCAGAAGATAAGAAGAGGGGACCGACGGAGAGAGACAATGAGAGAACGAGCGAGAGACAGAGACAGAGACAGAGACAGAGACAGAGACAGAGACAGAGACAGAGACAGAGACAGAGACAGAGACAGAGACAGAGACAGAGACAGAGACAGAGACAGAGACCTGAGACATAGACAGAGACAGAGACAGAGACAGAGAGGAGAAAGAGGAGGCAAGGGAGAGAATATGCAGACGCCTCAGAGCCCACAGGGGCCTATATTCAAAAGCTTCCCACTCATGGAAGCCCTGAACCCCTTTACTCATCGGGTATGAGTTTAGCACCTCGTCAGAGCCAACAGGTCCGCCAGTGCCAGCTGCCGACGCGACCACCTCGTCCAGGCCCTGTGCGGCAGGTTGACGCAAATATTCGTACTATCTATCTACATGCTTCACTGTTCTTTTCATCTTCTAGCGGCTCTAGCGAACTAGCTACTGGTCTACCTGTTATCATGCGGCCCGGTATAATACAGACTTCGCATTACTTTTGAAACCTTGGCATTGCACCCGCAATCCGTATAAACCAGGTGCTAAGGAATGCCGCCTGTATACTGCAGATTGCGCTGATAGAAAGACAAGAGCCAAAAACCTGGATTCACACTTCCTACCCTAAACCCTATAGCCTAAACCCTAAACCCTAAATCTGGGACCCCTGTCGCGGCACATGCTCACATGCGTAGATCGCCTCCTGAATCTGCTGTGCCTCCTCGGGTGGCAACCTGATATCGGGCCCAAGAGCGGTTTAGGGTTTAGGGGTTTAGGGTTTAGGGTTTAGGGGTTTGGGGTTTAGGGGTTTAGGGTTTAGGGTTTAGGGGTTTAGGGATTAGGGTTTAGGGGCAAGCAAGGAAAGGCAGTCGACCAGTTCCCGCTTGGTGGACGAACCCGGGACCAAACCAGGATCCAAGCTCAGGTCGCGAAGGCTTCTCGCCTTCCTGCCCGATGCTTCCACAAGCAGCTCAGCCAGCGCGAGCAAGATTGTTCATGATCTTTCGTTTTCGCTACTGGCTGACACTCTTCAGCCCGTGGGCCTTTGCGGCGCGCTCCGCCAATAGGACTGCCTCATCTGGGTCTGCGAAAATGTCGAAGCCATCCACCTCATGTGGTTTGTGATGTTCTAAAAAAACCCTGCTACCTCTTCCGCATCGAAAACCCAGGCCTCATGCTTCTTGCACAAGATCTCCGGCACCGAATATCGCCTCTCCGGCACCAGTAAACCCCACTGTGGCAGGCGAAATGTCACGTGGGAAAGACTGGGAAAGACTGGTCAGGTCGATCGAGCAGCAATAACCCTGGCGCAAAGGCCTCGAGAGGATGGAGCCGGGGCGTTCATGAGATCATCATCGTCATCATCATCATCATCATCATCATCATCATCAGTCCATCGCCTTAGCTGTAAGGACAGTGCCGTGCACAAAGGTGCAACTTGCGCAGCACCAGAAATTGTGTTGCAGCCAGAAGGTTCTGCTGGGAATTCTCCTGAACCGAATTGCCCCATGCACTCTGCTTGCTACATTGAGCCTAAACCTAAACGGCTCTGGATTCTGAGAGTTCTCAGTGCTCTCGGCGCTGCACCTTGTCAGACCGTTCTCTGCTCTCAGTTTGCCGCGTTTCTTCCGAAGCCACTGAGCATCTGCCAGCAGGTCAGCATGCACCTGGCTTCCCATGCCTTTCGCACCCCTCAGAAAGCTCCAAGCAGCCTACTGATCTTGCCGGAGCGGCCTCCGCAATGTAGCGGATCACTTCCTGCTGATCTTCAGCATAGAAGTTTCCAACACGGACTGCCTGCCGTCCAAAGCCGCTGCCGGAATGTCTGGCTTCCACTCGCGAATGACTCGAACACAGGAGTGAACGATGGTACACTTCTTTGCGACACCGGGCCTGGCCTCCAAAGCGATGTTCCGCTGCCTGAGCAGGTCGCTCGCAATCTTCTGCTGCCCAAACATCTCTCAATTCCCTTGGCACAATTAGGTCAGAACGTGTAGGGGCTACCATGAAGCACTTGTACGCAGCTTCGGTTCTCACGTCAGTCGGAGTCACATTACGCAGAGCACGCCATTCTACGTGGTCTGTGCACACCAGGATGGATCCGGGCTAAAGGCATTGTTTCAGGCAGATCATCAGGACTTGAGCGACAGGAGTTGTCCTGCTGCGCAGAAGTAGCCTCAGGTTTGGCAGAAACATGCACGTCCTCTACTGTCGAAGGCCACGCGTACGGCACTTGGGCACGGACTAAGAACGAAGCTAGCTTGATGATACATCGACGCATTCACACAGCAATCAACAAGCTGCCACCTGCAACAACAAAACGCAAAGCCATTCCAGCCAAGCCGAACATCGTTTGCATCGTTGGGGCGTCTTTCTCGCAAGACTTTCGACAGGCACTCTGCTGCGGACAGATCTGACAGATCAGGCTAAGGCGCTGGCGATAAGACTCGCGGTTGGCCGCCGCTTCCTTTTCAGAAGGCGCAACCTGACGCTGGAGATCTGATGCGGTTTCTCGGGGTTCTCGACTTCAACAACTGTCTGGCTCTCTGGAAACCCACAACCGTGAAGCCCACAACGCCGGCGAAGCTCGCCCTGGGGACTGCGCCGTCGCAGCGGCGGTGGCCGGCGAAGCCGAAGTAGGCCCATGGCACGACAGTTTTCTTGTCTATTCAAGCTACCTCTGTTTTGTGCTGAATGTGGAATTAAGGCTCAGATGTAGCATCGGGAGTGGGTTCAGGTTGGCTTGTCAGCAGCGCTTGCAGGGGACTTTGGCGCTTGTCCTCGTCGCAGCCACGTGAAGGGAAACGCATCTTCATCCTGTTCCCAAGCACTCATCTTCGCAGGAGGAGACATAGTGTTCCAGACAAGAAGCTTTTGAGCAAGCAGGCGCAGGATTCTGGACGAATCCGCTTGACGTGGAGAGGGATAGGCTGCAGAGGCGAAATTTCGAGATCTTCATTGCATTGCATGTTAAAGTGTTGTCACCAACCCGAACCAACACACCACAAGATGCTGCAGGCAAAGCCTCAAGCCCTGCACGGAGGATCCACTTCGTCCGATTTGAGGCTCCGAGTCTTTGATCGCGGCCGAACTTCCGCCGCAGAGCTCATGGAAGCAGAGCTTTGGAGGCTATGCCACGGCTATGCCACGGCTATGGCCGCTACTCCGTGCGCCGTCGCTTGCCGGGTCGAGGCCTTTCAGCCGACGAAGTGTCATCAAGTTGCCGGGCCTGGCAAAAGCCAAACACAGGGGCCGTCATCCGTCGCACCGGAACAAGTCTTGGCCGGTGGTACACGCAGATGGGCGGCGAAAAAGCCCGATGCCACCGTGTCCTCGAAACCAACTGAGCAATATTAGGCTTGGAGCATTGACAGGGGTGCGGGCAGCTGGTTGCTCACTCTCTGCAAACCTCGTCTGAATCTCAAACCACGAACTTTTTGGATTTGAGACCTCCCTTAATCCTCAGCTCATGTCGGCTTCACGGTGCGCTTCGAAGTCCTCGCCCTCCCATCTCACCTTGTAGCGGCCATCCTTCTGGCGCTTCACGATCCTAGCAGAGTCATTGCTGCGCAGGCGAACTGCGATGGAAACTTGCAAGTGCGCAGACACACAACTCCAGCTGTCACTCCGAAACCTGTCTATCACACCTGCTTAGTTGGAGGCGTGGCAATGCAAACACAACACCCTTTAAAGCCAGCTTCGGAATCGTGTGCCTGGCAGAATACCAGTAGCCATCCTGTCATGAGTCTTGCAGCACTCTATCGCAGGATCAACCATCGCGCACGACATCATGCGCAGGTTCCTTTGCCTTTGCCTGTGCAAGATCTTGCAGACACGAAGCTCTGCACATGTCCCAGTGCAGGCCTCCCACAGAGCTTCCACCTGCCAGCTCGTGACAACGGCATATCTTTCTGGAGCTCGTTCAGGTACTCTTCACACTTCTGTTCTCGACGGCCCCGGCCCCTGTCAGTCTGTGTGAGGTTTGACAGCTGCGACTGACATGCGAGCTTTCTGAAGCTTGCAACCGGATGGACCGAGTCTTATGCCAGGATGTCATGAAGACTCTGCGATGACGATAGTAAGGAACAATGCTGCACACTGATTGCCAAGGCAGGGAGGCGAGCTCGAGTAGGATGAGGACGACGAAGCCGACCATACGGGATGAACATGATGAACATGTGATGATGAAGATGTACATACCTGGCCCCCTCCCCAGTATCAAGTTCCAGGGAGTCTTGATCAGAAAAGCGGGCAAGTGAGGAAGCAGACCTTTGAGACCCCATCTCGGAGGGCCTGCGCATCCCGGTGCCACTGGCTGGGGGCAGCTGGACGCTTCGGTGGGGCCTTCAGAGCGTATTTCATGTAGAAGCGCATGTGCTGCTCCGGGAGCTTGTGCACTGTGAGTCCGGACAACAGGAATAGGGAAATAACCTTCCCCTGAAGTTTGGGTCCCGCACATGCCATTTCCACACTCCATTTCACATCTCTGTCAGAGCCTTTAAAGGCTCCGTCCGCATCTGAACCGAAGAGCCGTTGACACATCTCATACTGATACAGCACAGAGAAGCATCGGCCAGCTTCTAGGCAACTACCTTTGCTGAAAAGAGATTTGGGGCGCCCTTGTCGTTGCGTAGATGCACACCATGATATCCCATGAACCATGACACAAACGAAGCTTTTGCGAGCAATCGTGGCTCTCAAACATGCCCGAAAGAACCTGGCCGAGAACTTCGGAGTTGAGTGCATAATAACTGACCTGACATGAAGATTCCAGGTCTTCGAGTCTCCCAGTGTCAAGTAAGTTCCATCGGCAACTCTCGGCCGCACGAATTCAGGAAGTCATGGTTCATAAGCTTGCAGGCTCGAGGGCGCTCCTTCGGAGCCCGTCGCGTGCAAATGCTCACGAGGTCCCGCAGGTGGGGACTGACCTCTTCTTCGAGTGGTGGCGACTTGTCGCAGCAAGCAATATGCATCATGGCCGCCATCTGTGAGGAAAACTTGCCCCAAGGGGGCTGGGCTGTAATCATCTCAATCAATGTGCATCCAAAGCTCCAAATATCGGCCCTGCACCCATACTTCTCACCATTAATAATCTCAGGGGCCATCCATAGAACAGATCCTCGAAAAGTGTGTTTGGCGCTAACTTTGGACTTCTTTGAGCACCCAAAGTCTGCGAGCTTTACGCACTTCATATCCTCCGTAAGGAGGATGTTGCCAGTCTTCACGTCTCTGTGTAGCACAGCCTGCCGATGCATGTAGCTCAGAGCACTCACGAGCTGGGAGGCATAGCTGCAGATCTGGACCTCTCTCAAGGGCCCATCACGCTTCAACACCTGACGCAATGACCCTCCGGCCATGAACTCCAAGTAGATGTAGTATCTGGCTAGTACCGCATCCGTGCCAAGCAGCTTGACAATGTTGGGGTGGTTGAGCTGGCGGTGGGTGGCGACTTCGTTCGCAATCTCACTGGGGACTTGCAAATCCCTGTCCAAATCTACCTCCTTCACGGCCACGGTCTCCCCTGTACTGGCAATCCTCGCCTTCCAAACTGTGCCCACAGAGCCTCGGCCCAGAAGACCGCTCCGCACCCATGTGTAGGTAGCACCCTTCACGCTCTCATCGCGTTCGAGTCCGCACGTGTTCGCTGGCTTGCTAGACTGCTTTGCGCTCTTTTCAGCCGTCCTGGGCTGCTGAGAGGTCTCTGTCTTAGTCGCAGCCTTTTCCCGATGTCTCCGCTTGTGTCTGCGCACAGACTTGCTGGCCTTGTCTTCCCCTTTTGCTTCAACTTCTGGCAGTTGGGTTTGCAACGGCGGTAGACGGAACCTCGACCAGCTAAGCCTGCTAGAGTTGTTACTAATTTCAGCTGTTCCTGTTCTTGTGGCCAGGGTGGTGGACAGACTTGCCGCGCTCGCGGCCCGAAAATTTTCACAGCTTTGCCTATGACAAGTCTCGATGAAGAGACGGGCATCGGCGAGAACTGCCACAGCAGGAATATCATCGGCAGCAAGTGCTCTAGCGGCCCGCATACTCGTACTGGTGACAGCAGGGAAGAGCTCTAAACAAACTGAGAATCAGCATTGAACCTCCGTGGCTGCAGATTGTATGATCCGCATCATCTCACGGCGTCAGGAGGGAGAAACAAGCCGCACCAGGGCGTAAACCCTGAACACCCCTCGCCAATGACACAAATGATGCAAAAAATCTCCCACAACCTGTCGCATTGACTACATGAGTGGAAACTAGCCTAAACTCGGTCGTGCTGCCAGCTGCCTGCAGGGACTGCTCACACCATACAATGTTGTGAGTATAGAGATGTCCTCACCCCGCTACCTAGCTGATATCGATTCATAAGACGAGCTGACAGGCCTCTTCGATCGGCCACACATACCAGAGCAAGTCCTGCCGAGTGTGGTCACCCAAAGTCCACGCACTGGTACGAGTACGCTGTCTTCTTTTCCCTGGGGCGGGATTGCCGGAGAGGAGCAGCTTGCAAATCTCACGGCATTGCCTGTGAGGCACGACCATCAGCATGCAGGGCTCGCCAGCCCTGGGCACCCACACAGAGGCTTGAACAAGGAAGGGGACCTCTGTGATGTTCCGAGTTCCAAGCCTTTTTCAACCCTTTGCTTCCCGGGGGCTTTCCTTTCAGGCCGAGGCCTCGACCCGAGCAGAGCAGAGCTGGATCGTGCAGGTGCTGGACCAACAGCCCTCAGAAGCTTCAGGCCGTGGAAGTAGCTCTCTGGGGATCTTCAGATCAAGGGCTCTGAAAGTGGGTGACTGTTTGCTTGGAAGGGTTGGAAGGGTAACGCGACGCGGAGGCTCTAGATGTGGCTCATTGCTTGCCAAGCGTCCTTTCGAGTTGCGCTCCCGCAGTGCAGCACTTCGCTGTCAAGAACCAAGCTCGGGCTCTTGACCTGGGACAAGCTGTCGTAGTGCCAATGCTCAACCGAACCTTCGGTGAAGGCGGTGTGGACAATTTTGGTAGTGCAGCACTCACGCCGGCTCGGCTTCCACAAGAAATGATGGAAGCGACCCAGGCCGTCCCTGCGTGGGCGTGATGGCTCATCTTCCCAAGACAAAATGTCCGCATGCAGCGTCTGTTCGTTGGATCCCTCTGGCACCATGGTCCAGCCAAGCTCAGTAATCCAAGGCTGAAGTCGATCGCGTGGTCTTGGCCACAGCAGCTCCTCTACCTCTTTGGGTGGCCGGGGGGCAGGTCCGCCCTGGATGGTCGAGGGGACGATGGAGATATAGAACCGCGGTCCGGTCCAATTATCTTCCTCATCCGCGGAGGGATGAACAGCGGAGACGTACAGGCCTTCCTCCTCCAGCTTTTGGCTGACTTCCCATGCAGCCGCCGTGCCCGGACGCTCCTCGCCATCGTCCACCCAGCTGGCACGGGTCTCCTCGAGCAAGGAGGCCACGCGCGAGTGAAATTGCCAGTAGTACTGTTCCTCAGCAAGGACGTGTGTCGAATCCCTCCTATTGCCGAACACCGGTAGATCTAAACTCCACAACTTGATCAAGAATCGACCAGTAAGCACACCTCCCATGCAGGGCGCCTGGAAAGCTCCAGGCAGCCCTCCTGCCGTTGCGGAAGACTGGTGACGCGAGAGGCACTTCAGCAACTAGGGAGCTGCTCTGTCAAACTGTTGACCTGCACCTGTGTAACAGTGACACCTGCAGATCTTTCCTGCATGCACGTCCGGATGTCCTCGTGAAGTTTTCGTCTGCCTTCCTCCGAGATATCACCATCGCTCATATCACGGACTATCCAGATGCAGCTTTCTTTGCGTGGCTGCTTTGCTGTGTCTGTCTGTCTGTTCCGATGTGGGTCACAGAGCTTCCTGGCATGGTCGAGTCTGGAGCTGGGGGCAAGGAAGTAATGATAATAGTAATCTTAATAACAATAATAACACTGGTAGTAATAACCATAACAAGAATAATAGTAGTAATGATAATAGTAATAATAATAATGGTCACAATAATAGTAATAGTAATCAGACCCCTAGCTTCCGTTTCCTGCCTGGCAGTTGCCCTTGGTTGTCAAAGTCGGCTCAGTGAGCTCCACTGGCGCTCTGAGCCCGCAAGTTGCAGCCGGTCAATCAAATCGCTTATCGAGTATCAATGCTAACTGTCAGACCAGACAGTACTTTCGGCTCCCAAACAATGCCATAGAG